TGCTTCTCAGTCACTGACTTTTGTTCTCAGTGTTTGTTTTCTTCATCCGTAGTGCATTAGCGGTGTATGATTTTTTTTTTCTAATCTGTTTTTCTCTAGCTTGAAAGCAGATTCATTGTGTTATCATGGCTGATGATGAAGGATTTGTCGTCCGTGTTCGGGGTTTGCCTTGGTCGTGCTCTGTAGAAGAAGTGTCTCGGTTTTTTTCAGGTAACAATGTGGAGTCTACATACCGATCCTCATTATACTCTTGAGTATTTTTAGCTTTAAAGTTAACAAAGTTGAAATTTCTCTTTTCAGGCAGCAAAATTGGCAACAATGGAACAGCCATCCACTTTACATACACACGAGAAGGCAGACCAAGTGGAGAAGCATTTGTGGAGTTGGAGTCAGAGGAAGACCTGAAAATTGCAGTCAAAAAAGACAGAGAAACAATGGGGCATAGATATGTGGAAGGTACAAAGATTTTATGCACGCTACCATTTAGAAATTTGGGGTCAAGAAATTAATGCTTTTGTTCAGCTTGGACACATTATATTCATGAAAAGAAATCAAATTGTGTTCTTCTGAACTTTTTATTTATAAGAGAATCCTGGGGGGAAAAAACTACGGTTTCCACAACAATAATATGCATATATCTGTTTTCAACTATGACAAGAAAAAATGTTTCTTGAGCATCAAAACGGCACATTAGAATGATTTCTGAAGGATCACGTGAAACTGGAGTATTGGCTGCTTAAAATAAATTACACTTTTAAAATGTATTAAAAAAAATATATATATATATTACTTTAAACTGTAATAATATTTCACAACACTACACTTTTATTGTATTTTTTTGATCAAGTAAATGCAGCCTTATGTATAAAAAGGCTTCTTAAAAAGCATAAATCGCAGCACCACCCCACAGTTTGAATTGTCCTCTTTCTGTTCTTATTCTCAGTATTCAAATCAAACAATGTGGAAATGGACTGGGTTATGAAGCACACGGGCCCAAACTGTCCAGAGACTGAGGGAGACGGACTGGTCAGATTGCGCGGCCTTCCTTTTGGATGTAGCAAGGAAGAAATTGTGCAGTTTTTCTCAGGTATTTTCAACTTTCCCAGTAGCCCTTCATATAGTCATCAGGAGAAGTAATGGCCAAGTGTACTCATCGAGGTGAATTTGACCATTCCCATGGTTGCTAGAATAATTTGACAGATTAATTCACCAGTTAATCCACCACTGTTGCTCTAAGTTATTCTGCTACATTAGGAATATTACTTTGTTAGCCACCAACTTTTGGGATGGCCACTTTTTCATCAACACTATGCCAAGTTAGTGGAATGCTTGCCCACTTGTAGGCCATTTTCCCAAGTGGTGGAACTCTCCAAGTAGGCTTCATTGCAACATGCTTTTTTTGTTTTGTTTTAATTTCTTATTTGCATTCAAGAAAAGAACAAAACAAACTTTGTAGATGGGAATGTGATTTATTTAATATGTCCCCGTTGGGGTTATCTGTCCTTGG